ACCTGGTTAAACCCATAGTGTAGTTGCCTGTCAAAGTTATCTGCCAATCACAGCAGGGCTACGACAGGTTGGTGACTCACTGCCAACTAATGGCATCCAGAAAGGGGAAGGGCAGCAATGCCAAGAGGATTTAACTAATAGCTTTGCTTAATAGTTAATAGCTATTAATACAAATAGCTTTCCATCTCTTTCCTCTATAGTCTTGCGTCCAGATGATGGTGTCTTAATTTCATAGGCTGAGGGAAAGCTAACCTCCAAAATTAAGACATCTGGCTGCAGGACTATAGAGGAAGGAGAGCGATCATCAATTGAGATGACAAATGTTATCCTGATATTAACTGAGCCATGGGAAAGTGTCTGATTCTCTCTGAGGACATTGAAGTTTAACTAGACTGGAAAATCATTTACTAGGGAAGACCTGAGGGCTGTCCTAGAGAAACATGGCATCATTATTTTTTTCATTGAGTGTGTGTGAGATTGATTGATTGATTTGTTGATTGATTATTGAGGGCTTACCTCAGTCTTAACAGACCTTAACATGTTAGCATTTTACTGTCAATTACCTGGAAAAAATAGCAATTTAAAAGAATTGTCAAATCCCTATCACCATCATACTTTTTCTTACCATGTTGTATATTTCCATGTTCTTATAACCATAGTCATAATATTTAAATTCCACAGAACGCAAAACCTAAAAGGAAATGAAAACATTATTCACAATGTAAAAATTAGTTTGGAAATCTTAATAGATGTACAGGAGTATAGACAATTTTTTCCATCTGGAATTGTATAGCAAGATTACAAAGTTCTTTAAAAAAGTAAACTAGTAAAGATAGTGAAAGATAGTAAAATATTTACTATTTACTATTTTACTATTTTTTATTTACTAAATGAGTAACAGAAAGAATAAATTTTAAAGCATTAATCATATAAAACTCATAAAAGGAACTAACCCAAATGTAATGTGAAATCTTAAAATCAAAAATAAAACTCCTTGGGAGATGAGGAATATCCTAGACTGGTACTGAACAGACTTTCATTTGGGTGCTAGGTATAGTAAAAAAATGGTTTCAGGAAACGAGTTCCTCCTAGATTTTGGAAATGTATTTTTATTTTAAAAACGAGAAGATGGAGCCATATGTTTCAAAACAGTCTGGATTTAATAATATTTATTTTTATTTATTTTTAATGGTGACAGAAATGTGGCCAATGAACAATAGTTCCTTGAGGCCAGTATGGAAATCACACTCCAAGATTAAATTTCGGCAAAAATCATTTGAAAAGAGCTAATAGGAAAACCACTTCCATAATAATGAGGTGGTCATGCTATAATCTTAATTGGATTTTCTAGGAAAGCATTAGAAGTGGATTTCCCTGAGTGGAGGCATTGCACTGGCATCAATTTAGTTTTGTTTTTAAGTCCAATATCAAGCAATTGGATATTTGATATTCTGTCTTGTAGCAGGCCCCTTCATGGATCACTGCCTTGTCATGGCGAAGGGGCTTGCGTAACTCAGTGAAGCCATGAGCTATACCACGCAGGGCCAC